AAAAGGTCCCTGTAGAAACGTGTAGTGCAAAGAGAATTAGGATGATTTCTGAGATGATTCCACAAGGAGCAAGAACCCCCCAACCCCAGACCCGGCAGCCACAGAGCAGCTTCCACATCAACTGTTTCTCCTGCAGGTTCATCTGGAGACTGAGCACGGAGGGGACACTGAGGGTCAGCGCAAGGCAGATGCTGCAGCTGAGGAAGGACATCCCTGTGTTGGGGGGAAGAGGTGAAGCTGAGTGCCCCGCATCGAGGTGAAGCTTTGTCCACTCCCTGTCACAGATGTGTTTGGGGTCTGCTGCAGATAAAGGACATCTCACTTGAGCAGATCTCACTCCTGAGGTTATCCTCTCCAAGGAACACACACCCTGCATTGCCCAGGACAGGAAATCTGGAAGGAGAAGAGCAGACAGCGCTGGCACCACAGTGGGGCACCTTGTGACCCCGGGATCCCCAGGCCCTTCCTGGCCCCCCAGGACTCACGAGGAGTTGAAGCTGCTGCCGTCCACCCACTGCAGCTCCTGGTCCCATCGGCACAGCCCAATCCAGTGATCCTTGTTCCTGGTGAGGCGAAGGAGGAATTCCTGGGAAGGAGAGAGGAGCCGGCACTGGGAGCTGCACCCCCGGCCCAGGAGCCCCCCAGGCTCGGTGTCCCCACACTCACCCCACAGCCCCCAAAGCCCCTCACTCACCATTTCCCAGTCCTGGAGCACGGCCAGGGAGGCCCCGAGCTCAGAGCACCGAGCCTGAGCCTGATCCCAGCTGAGCTGATCCCTCGAGAGGAAGTAGCAGATCCCGCGGTGCCCGACCCAGCCGTGGGGACAGGCCAGCAGCAGGGGAGTGTCAGCTGTAACTGGAGTAACTGGAGTCTCTCTGTGTCCTCCCCCTGCAGAGGGAAGAGGAGAAGCTCTGAGGATTCCCCTCCACAGGGAGCAGGGACCCCACTCTGCCCCAGGGGCTGAGACAGCTGCCCCTCCCTTACCTGACACAACAGCCAAGGACACACCCAGAGCCAGGAGCAGGAGCAGGAACATCACCAGGGTGAGCATGGGATGGGATCTGATCCAGTCGAGTGGAGCTGGAAAAGCAGGACAGAGTCACTGGCTGTGAGGATGTGGCTGTCCTGAGCAGGCCCACACATCCCATCTCCCACCCAATGTCCAGGGAGCACAGGAGAGATCCCCCCAGCCATGAACCCCTCACTCTGTTGCCAGGAGAGACCAGGGACAGTCTGTGACAGCAGAACTGCCCAGGGCCGGGGGTGTCGGTGCCAGCAGAGCACAAGGCCCCTTCCAGAGCCCTGGGAACAGCCCCAGCCCTGCCAGCCCTGTGCTCTGGGTGACACTGTCCCCTCCCTACAGGGTGGCCCTGCACTCACCCAGAAACCCTCTCAGGGTACTTTCCTGTTTATTCCTGGTTGCTGATCTGTCCTGGGCAGCCAGCAGTTCCCTCGCACTCCTGACACTGGTGCAGATCCTTTCCTCCAGATCTTCACTCCCTGCACTCTCAGCAGTGACACCTTCCTGTTTGTCATGAGTGGCTTCTTGTTCTTGAGGCAAGTGTGTAACCAGCAGTTCCCTCGCACTGCTGTCACTGGTGCAGATCCTTTCCTCCAGATCTTCACTCCCTGCACTCTTACCAGTGACACCTTCCTTCTTGTGACAAGTCACTTCTCGTGCCCCAGGCAAGAGGGTAACCTCAGCTGCTGATCCCTTCTGGGGATGCAGGAGCTCATTCAAAACCCCATGAAGATAGCATAATTCACTATCCTCCAGCTTACAGCTGGGATTTCTCTTCCTGGCACAAAGAGCACCTGGCTCAGGGGGTATCAGTGATTCTGAGAAAGCCTTTTGGAGTTCAGCTTTCGACGCAATTTGACAACGAGGGTGCTGGGAGATAACATGGGGCATGATGAGAGATACGAGCTGGTCCCAGCTCTGCGCTTCCCCAGGTTCAGGAAGGCGCTGCCGGCTCAGCCCTGCCCTGTCSCTGCTCCCCGCAGATCGGTGGCGACAGAGAAGAGACGCTCCTGTGGCTGTCACCGAGCACCAGGAATCCCCTCCAAGGCGGAGCCTCCGCTCAGCAAACGCTGCCAGGACAGAGAGAAAGCTCTCAGCTGCGGGCTCCGATCAGAAAGGGACCGGCTCCACCCCCGCCATTCCATTCCCGTTCTGGCCGCGGCACCGGCTCAGGAAGGAACAGCAACGATTTTTGGGCACAGGTAGAGATGAAATAAATTAATGTTTTGGGTTAGCCAAGAGAAACAGCAATGAAATAATAAGGAAGGCAACGACAGCAGCAGCTTTGGCACAGTAACACAGCTGGGGTCACACAAGGCCATGGCACAGCATCACAGAATCCTCACACTTGGACGGGACCCACGAGGATCATCCAGTGCAACCCTTTGGGAATGGTCCCTGTGGGGTCACATCCCAACCTGGGCACTTTTGGCACCCTGCTCTAACCAAGGTCACATTCCTGTGGCAGCAGAGGTGTCCTGGTAATACAGAAACAATTAAATAAACATATAAATACAGGGTTAGGATATAAACATATAGTGCTAGAGACACAGGAAGAGATCTGGGATGGTTCCGAAAGCAGAAAGAAATGCCCAGCGCCAGCTCCGGCAGCCACACATCAGCATCTACATGATCTCCTTCTCCTGCAGGTTCATCTGGAGACCGGGAACTGAGGTGCTCATGAGAGCAAGTAACAAGAGGTGACAAGGAGCACTGAGGTGACTGAGGTGACAAGAAGCAGCCCTGAGCGGGCTCAGGATTGTCCCCTGCATCCGCCGCCCTGGCGGGTCAGAGCCCGGGAACACCGAGCGCTGGCAGCGTCCCCGCCCGGGAACAGGAGGCGGCACCCGGAACACGGAAGGCGGAATTTGGCTCCGTGCCCAAGGGGAACCGGCAGGACGAGGCTCCTCTCTGCCTCTGCCTGAGCGCGGCGCTGTTTCTATTCCCGAATGCTTTCCTTTGTGAGGGAAGCCCAAGTTCACAGCGTCCCATCCCCGGGCACGGACACGGACCCCTCCCCCTGCACCAGGAGCTCTCAGCCCGGTCCCGCACGGCTGAGAAGAGTCTCGGGGCAGTCACCTCCGTGCTACCGACAGCAACCGGGACGAGCCAGCGCTGCTCCGGCACCGGCTCCTGCCGAGGCATCAGCGGGAAGGAGACCGCGGGCAGCCGCTCCCGCAGCGGCCTCAGGGCAGGGGGAACACGGGGGGGACACGGGAGAACGAAAMAGCCACAACCCTCCCTCCCGCTCCCCSCGCCCGCAGCGAGCCCCGAGCCCCGGCACAACCGAGCGTGGCTCCACCTGCGCTGGGGCCGCCTCCGAGCTCCGCCGCTCCCTCACCGTGTTACGGGGTCCGGTCACTGCCTCCGCTGCCGCTTTCCCACAGACGCTCTGCACCCGGAGAATTGAGAATGGGAGAGACCGAGCGGGATCGCTCTTAATTCCCGTTCTGAGCAATCAGCGCTCGAGAATTAGGCGTGGTGGGAGAAATCAGCCAATGGGAGCGCGGGGCGGGCTGGGCACGCGGCCCGGGAATTGCCTTTTCCAGGGTTTTTTCCGCCGGCAGCGACAGCGGGAGCCTCCCGGCGAGTGACGCCCCTGGCGCTGTGCCCGGGTCGGGGAAAGTAATGAACCCTTCGGCTGAGGAACCACCCCTGACGTTGTGCCCGGCCCGGGCAGGAGGCCAAGGAATCTCTGCTGCCCTGAACCGGCGGGAGCTCGGTGCCACCAGGGACAGAAAGCGCTGGGAGCTGGGCTGAGTCTGGGATGGAGCAGGGACCCCCCTGCAGCCCTGACAGGACCCCAGGCCGGAGCAGGAGGAGGGTTCCTGTCCCTGAGGGGAAGACAATGACATGACCTGTGACCCCATCCCCCTGTGCCACTGGGTGCGGAGGAGGAAATCGGGCAGGAGACTGGTCAGGGGAAGTTGTTTCATTTAGGACTTGTTTCACTGCTCATTCTACTGCTCCAGTCTGTTGAATAATAATTTAATTAATTTCACTGTTGTTACACATGTAGCATAGGAGAAGTCTGCTCTAAGCACTGATTATCAAAAGGAAGAAGGTGTAAATTTAGAACTAAAATCCCACCCACAGAGGGTATAAACAGGCCAGCCGCAATAGTGGGTAACAACACAATAAAAGATAATAAAAGGTATTAAAATACCTTAAAAGGTATTAAAATAACAGCAGTTAAAGTCAGCAGATGACTCTGTCCTCAGGGAGGACTCTCATGGCAGGGGAAGGGGTTCAGTCCCTCGACCTTCATCAGGAACATTGGGAACACTTCCAGGTGCATTTTGTTAAAGGATGGACATTGGGAGTGGGAGCAGCCTCAGGTCTCCTCGGAGCGCTCTCCTGGAAAGAGCAGAGAAATTGCAAAGGAAACCAGAGCCTCAGGGAAATGGAAAATTCAGATTTTTGGAAGGTACAGAAACTGCTTATTCCGTATGAAACACCCTGCAAGGGAAGTTAAGAGGTGACTTTGTCACAGCTGTCAGTGAAATGGGAGCCTTTTCCATCCAAATAAATTCAAACTGGGAAAATGATGGACAACCCATGGATTTGTGTACCTGCCCAGCAACCCAGTACCATTATAAGGAGGAAATTCACTGGAAAAGGGGAAAGAAAGAGATCAAGTCTCGTGAAGGGGACTTAAAAACCCTGAGTCTAATATGAGTCTATTCCTGAGTCTAAATATGTGACACCTTCTATTTTCATGGGACAGGCAGTGACTTCCTGATCTGAGCCTATCCCAAAGCAAACTGAGGACACAGTAACATCCTTTATGGCAGTGAAATGTGTGGAAAACCAAAGAGCAGAAGCTGTAAGAATGAAATTAAAACCAAGCACAGGCCTGGTAAGAGTGAAAAGTCATCCCTGAAAAATGGAAAACTGAAAAGGCTTCTCAGCTGTCCCTAACAGATTTTTAGGGAGTGGGTTCATGGTGCAATGTGACTCTAAGTATAACCCCCCCAATTTTGCCAGTCACAGCGGCTAATGATCAATAATGATCATTAGCGGCTAATGACAAAGATGATCAATTAGTACAGGAGTTAATAGCAATTAATAAAAGATGGGAGATGAGCCATCCACACTCCTAACCCCACTAAAAGAGAATTTGGCAGGGTTCACTGTAACACATTTAAAGGACACATTTCCTGCACATCTCTGGGCCACTCCAGCCAGGAGCTCTTACCATTTGAGTGGGAAAATCCACACCCAGGACTTCATTAGCACAAGGATTTAAAAACAATCCCACAATTATTGGGACTGCACTGGCAAAGGAATGAGAGCAATGGAAGAGCTTTGATCCCCACGGGGCTCTGCTGATGTGCTGAGAGGCACCGACACTGAAGAGCAGTGCAGGGACCTGACTGCTGAATGATTGAACTTCTTGGCATGAAATTTTTCAAGGGAAAAGGCCCAAGGAATGAAAATGGCTGGGACATTTGTGAGTTTTGAAATTCTCTGAGGGCAAAGTAAACAGAGCACGAACCTTAAACTGTGAGGGAATTGCAGACCTTCCTTGGCATGGTTGGACACTGATCAGGAATTAGTAATTAACAGGTGGGGACTTGCAAAACTCTCCATGATGATTTCATGATGTGGGCGGATGGAACTGGGGCTTCGTTCCACCAACTTCAGCAAGCATCAGGGAGGGGTCTGCCTTTGAGCTCTTGGCACATCCCATCTTTTAATTTTTTTCCATTTTGAGAGCCAAAATCTTTCCCAAGAGTTTCTGGCACAATTCCCAGGGGTTCAGGGATGAGTCACTGCAAATTCCCCCTGAACAGCTCAATAAGGTGAGCCCAGGCTGGCCCAGCTGCTTGTGAGCAGTCACAGCCACGGAGCTGCTGCTTCACAATCCCTGAATGCACTGAGGGACAGAGCCCAAGGGCTGGGGGACATTGAGGGACAGGAGGGGTTTGGGACAGAAGGGGAGCCATGGACTGTCCCCAGCCCTGCTGAACAATGGGACAGGAAATTACCCTGGAAACTCCTCTCCTGTTTATCCTGCTGGGCTTCCATTTGGCTCCACAGTGAAAAACACTCCAGACATGAGTGGCTACAAACAATCACAAGAAGTTTAAATTCCAGCCCAGTCAAATTCAGAGGCCAAGCCTGATAGAGAACCCAGACTGAGAACTGTGCACAGGAAATAAGAACTTTGTTAGCCACAGAAAAGGCATTTCAGGGAATACATTCACCACCTCGGGAGAGGAAATTGAATCTAAAGCTCTTCTGTCAGTTTTTGTAACATAGAAGAATGAAACTGGTTTCTCAAACAGGGCAATAGGAAACTGAAGGGAAGGAAATGAACATCTGGAGGGATTGCAAATGTGGTTTGGCTAAGTGCCATCTGGAGAGTTGTTTGTTGTGCACGCAGGGTGCGTTTTGTTAAATAGAACATAAACACAGGAAGCAGCACAAACCACACGGTGTTTTCATTCTGCACTGCAGAGCAGAACAGACAAACAGAATAAGACCAGATTAGGGAACTGTCTTTGAGGACAAGGCAGACAAGGAGGCTGCAGAAAAAAAACATATTTTGGTTCCACAATGAGAGATTGCTCTACCAGGTATTCAACCTGAATGTGGTGCAAGAGATTGCCAGAGAACTGAAGTGTTAAATTCTGATTTCACCCCAGAGGATGGGCAGACACCTGCACTGGACAGGTGACAGTTCCTGAGGTGATTATGAGAGAAAGAGTGAACAGAGAGCACCAATCTACTCACTGGAGAGCAGAAAAATTGTTAAAACACTTCAGAAAGGCACGAATGAGCTGTAAAAGTGATCAAAAATGTACCTTCAAAGACTCAAAAGTGTGACACATGTAGAAGAAATAACCCCAAATACTGTGAACAAATGGGGGTGGGGGCTATTCAATCTGGACACTCCATAAGAGGTTATTCGTAAATTAACTTCACAGAACATCCCTGTACTAAGAGCTCTAAATGCCTTTTAGTGGTGCAATTTCCGGGTGCCTGAAGTGCCTCACTGAAAGAGAAACAGTGAAAATATTGCTAAATCAAATAATTGCTCACTTTAGAGCTCCTGCAGGGATGGCATCAGCCAGAGGGTCCCAGTTTGTAGCAAGAACAGTGGCACAAGTCAGCAAGGCTTTGGGAATTCAGTGGGATTTACAAAATCCACACCGGCCACAAGGTACTGGGAAGAGAGAAAGGGTTAATTGTATTTTCAATCCACAACTGAGTGAAATCTGTCAGGAAACCTCACTGGTTTGGGTACAAGAGCTCCCAATGCCATTGCTGAGAACCGGGATCCAACCCAGGGCACAGGAACACGAAACCCTGGGAGCTGCTTTGTGCTCGGCCCCATCTGTTTGTGAGGATGCCCATGCACAAAAAACTTGCACTCAGAAAAAGCAACTCCATTTCATTAGTTGAGTTAGCATTAGGTACATGCTGACCCCTGGATTCTGGAAAAGCCAAAGAGCAGGAGAAGGAGATGGAACATGGCTTCTGAACCGGACGGATGGGAACAGACAGTCAGTTCACCTTCAGGGCATCCCCTGGATGAAAATGGTGAGAGCATCATGGTGTCCTCATCCTCCAGCCCAGGACCACACCTTACATCCCCTCCTCAGGAGTGGCCAGTGCCAGCATCATCTCACTCAGGGCCAATACATGAGATGAGGTCAAAACAGCCCATGGTAACACCTCCATGCCAACAACGGCTCATTGTGTATTGACCCCCTTTCCCAGGATGAATCCCACCAGGTGACCAATACATGTTTTCATTTCTGAAGGACAGAATCCTACCAACTAACAACAAGGTCTTCTTCTACGATAACTTGTTGATGTGCACATCAGTGACTGAATGTGGCAGGGCCTTAGACACATCTTTGGTCCCTGACACACAGGATGTGCATTCACCACCCCAGGAGGGGAAATTGAATCTGAAGTTCTGTTGTGAGTTTTTGTAACACCGAATGATGAAATGGTTGCTCTAAGAGGGGCATTGGAACTGAAAAAACAAAATTTAGAGGGAAATTTAGAGGGATTGCAAGTGTGCTTTGGCTTAGTGCAATAGGAAGAGTGGTTTTTGTGCACACGGGGTAGGCCTTGTCAAATATGGAACATAAGTACAGGAAGCAGCACAAACCACACGGTGTTTTCATTCTCCACTGCAGAGCAGAACAGACAAACTGAAAACACCACAACAGGGAAATGTCTTTGAGGGCAAAGCAGTTAAGGAGGCTGCACAAAAAACACATTTTGATTCCACAAGGAGAGATCGCTCTGATCGCTCTACTAGGTATTCAACCTGAATGTGGTGCAAGAGATTGGCAGGGAATTGAAGTGTTAAATTCTGATTTCACCCCAGAGGATGGGCAGACACCTGCACTGGACAGGTGACAGTTCCTGAGGTGATTATGAGAGAAAGAGTGGACAGAGAGCACAATCTACTCATAGAAGAAGAGAAAAATTGTTTAAACCCTTCAGAAAGGCAGGAATGAGCTGCAAAACGATTGAAAATGTGCCTTCACAGACTCAAAAGTGTGGCACATGTAGAACAAATACCCCAAATACTGTGAATAAAGTGGAGATCTAGAAACTCCATAAGAGGTTATTGGTAAATTGATCTCACAGAACTTCCACATACTGAGAGCTCTAAATGCCTTTTAGTGGTGCATTTTCCAGGAGCCTGAACTGTTTCACTGCAAAAGAAGCACTGAAAATATTGCTAAATCAAGTAATTCCTCTTTGGAGCTCCTGCAGGGATGGCATCAGCCAGAGGGTCCCAGTTTGTAGCAAGAACAGTGGCACAAGTCAGCAAAGCCTTGGGAATTCAGTGGGATTTACACACTGCACACCAGCCACAAGGTACTGGGAAGGGAGAAAGGATGAATTATATTCTTAATCCACAACTGAGTGAAATCTGTCAGGAAACCTCACTGGTTTGGGTACAAGAGCTCCCAATGCCATTACTGAGAACCAGGATCCAACCCAGGGCACAGAACACGAAACCCTGGGAGCTGCTTTGTGCTTGGCCCCATCAAACCCCACAGAGCCCAGGGCTGTGCAGGGGAAAGGGGGGCAGAGCTCAGGAACTGCTCCTATCTTTGGGTGAAACATTCCAGGATTTCCTGTGGGCAGTTGTCCAGAGCCATGGGATGGACACAGCAGGGCAGGAATTGCAACAGGACCCTGGGGTACCTCAAGGAGCGGGGCCCGGCCCCTCTGCAGCCCCAGGGGAAAGGACCCTGCTGAGCGTTGTCACCCCAGAGCCGCGGTGAAGCTGAGCAGCGTCCCATGGGGGCTTCAGGCTGGGGTTAAAAGGGGACTGGGTCCGTGCACAGCAGAATTATTGTTCCCAAACCCAGTGGGGCTGAGGGAGAAGAAGGAATAACCTTGTCACAGAAGTGTGGGTTACATTTTCTCGAGAGTTAGATCTATTGTATCTGAAATTGGTTACATTGGAATTAAGATTGGCCACACCAYCGCCCAAACGCCACCCGGCCACCACTGGATGTCTCATGACTCCCTGGTAAACTCCTGGTGACACTTTGTGCTGGGGAATGGAGGGCTGAGTCAGTCTAGAAAGGGACATCATCTCAAAAAAGGGGGGTGTCAATCAAGAACAGAGAATAGACATTTTCGCTTCCACCGAAGGTGCTGAATGGAGCTTAAAGTCTGGCAAAAAAAAAAACGGAAAAGGTTGTAAAATTGTTCACAATGGATGATAAACGTGGATGGAACCAGGGCAGTAAAACGGATAAAGAGAGCTATAGACTACAGGGCTTTTAGCAAGTTCTGGAAGAAGCAGTTCCAGTCAAGGTCACCGGGTTACATCGGGGCACTCAGTGAGGGCCACCACCAGAGACCCCTTTGGGTGACCCTCCAGGATCACAAAAGGACTCAGAGCAGGAGGCGGATGGAGGAAAAAGTGTCCCAGAAAAGGTTTATGGATTGTGTTTACAGATTAGCCAGAGATAAGTGCCTTGCAATGAATGTGTTTCATCAGGGTGGAATAAACACCCCGTAGGAAAGTTTCATGCCACACATCATTAAAGGAGAGATCGTTCTGTGTGTCCAGCACTTATACAGAATGGCTGCTTTCTAATGCCTCAAGTTGTGTTAGAAAGGTCATTTTCTGGCTTATTTTGGTATCATTTTGGTCCTGCTCCAGCCTGGGATTCCTCCTACAGGACACAGCCCCTCAGGACCAGGCTGCTCCATCGGGGATCCCCCCACGGGCCCACAAGGCCCTCCAGGGGTCACTTCCCACTGATCCGAGCCCCTCTCACACATCCTCTGCTCCATCCCAGACTCACCCACAGCGGCTCCTCGGACTCCTGCCCGGCCTGGGACATTCTGGGGCTGTTCCTCCCCCGACATTTGGAGAGCGCCTCAGGAGAGCTCTGCGTGCCTCAGAGACCCCTTTATACACCCTGGGCAAAGCCCGCCGCTCATCCCCATTGACTGACTCTTCTGCCACTCTTCATTCCTGAAGCTGATTGGTCAGAGTAGCACCAGGGGACAATTCCCCTCAGCCCAACATCGCTTTGATTTCCCCCAAAAAGAGAAAACAGCCCCAAATTCC